TTTATACAACTTTTCAGTAAAATCAGACGTTTTGATTGGTTGGCTTTCGTGTGTTATCAAAGTATAGATACACGGATTACGTCAAAACTAATTGTTTGTTGTATAAAACAGATAGATCTCATTTTTCCGTGTGTGTGTACTCTAATAGATACACAGATGACGTCAAAATGTAGTGAGAACAACAGTCACGCACTCGACTGCGTCTCGTGCGTACTTTTTTGTTCTCACTTCATTTTGACGTCATCTGTGTATCTATTAGAGTACACACGCACGGAAAAATGAGATCTATTTGTTAAATAACACAATGTATATGACGTCATTTGATGCCAATGTTGCAGGAACGGGTAGGAACTCCATCAGATCGTATGGAAAGAATATTAATTTATTTGAACTTCCGGTGACCAAACGCGACATGACACATAGATCCACATAGATAGATAGATAGATTGGCGAAAACGTAAAAAGACAATGCGCGCGCTGTTACAAATGAAATCAAGAAAGATAAGAATAATAATTAATTATTGAGCAATTAATTAATTAATTTAAACTACGTATAAATAGTTTTATTTTGTCTTGATTTTAATTTTGATTTCTTTTTACTTATATTTAAGAAATATAAAACGGCGCGCATGTCTCTGTCCTCTGATATATACACGGTGGGAGTTGAAAAACACGAGAGAAGCAAGCTTAGGAACACGAACGTAGCGAGTGTTTCTCTTGCTTCTCGAGTGTTTTTCAACTCCCACCGTGTTTATATCAGAGGACAGAGACACAAGCGGCCGTTTTATATTTCTTTTATAAAATTTTTCGAGCGAAAAGGAAATTTTGTCGCTATACTGTCTCTGTCCTCTGATATAAACACGGAAATTTTATAAATGAATTTTATCAATGGCAGCAATGGGTCAAGGCGAACGTTTTCTCGATTTATCTTGATTATGAAATGAATTTTGATTCTATCGTTCTTTTAATTTCATTTTTTTAATTTATTTTGAAAAATTGTTTTCAATTACTTTAACATTTAATTTGATTTGGCTTTGAAATGCAATTTAGTTAATTTTTCAACTTGATTTCTCTTTGATATATAAACAGGTTTGGCGANAGTAGTAATTAGTAATATTTGTTTCACGGATTAAGTGCGTTAACACTCTATGTACAAAACGATTAAAACACTATTTTTACACTAGAGTACAAACACTAAAACTGTGCAACATAAATACCACTAAATACTGTGTTATGCTAATTCTATTGTTTTCTATTGTTTAATTAACACTATTTTGTAGTAAATAGTGGAAAGTGTTGCACACATTTATTAAATGTTTGTACTCTATTATATTAAAACTTATTAAAAAATACTTACAGAAATGACTTGAAAAGTTTTCATAATTCAAAGTTAAAGTCTTAAACGCCAGCTCGATCCAGACAGTTGCTGATACATTATGGTTAAGCTTATAAAAGAGTTTTAACTCTTAAAAGGTTTCAAAAACCATGCACACAATCTTGATCACTTTCCATTTTGAATTGAAGGCTTATAACACTGAAAATTTGTTTTCATTAGCCCGAAGGATGATATAAATGTCCAATAATAATGTCAACAYCTGCTTAGCAATCCCTGTGCCTAGATTCAGTTCTTTAAAAATGCATTGTCATTGAAGAGCACCAAAGTTGTCGTCCATTTTTGTTTTCTCTATGTGACTGGCCAATCGGAAAGCTCGTTAAAAATATTTTTGAGGAGCCAATCAAAGTTCGTCACAGTTCAGTATTTGCCAGGKTCTTCGCACGAGCGTCCGCCATTTTGCGAGTAGAGAAGACCCTGGGAACGAGGTTGGGGCGCGCTCGCAGGTTGGTTGTGGGAATGAGCGGTTAACTTCCGTGTAGACTCTTCGACGTTTCTTCGTATAATCTTTCTTTTTACAGTTCAGCTTGGAACAATTATCTACGGAGTATGCATTTATGTACAAAAGCTTCTGTCTTGGTGATTTTTGCATCAATTTATTCAATAGGTGTGTTAGATATTTTGCTTTACGTTTGCATGAAGAACTAAAACTAAGAAGGAAGCTCATAAAGCGTTATAAGTTAAGCTTATAACGTACCGTAGCTTAGCTTATCATGCATTCTTCATTTATTATGATTTATAAGCATTCAAACCTTCAAAAAGTGTTATTAATTGATTTAATATATATTTCCTTCAGACTGTTTAAGGTTTAGCACTCAAGATCCTCTGGTCTTTGTTTTGAATAAAAACACTACAAATGTCGTCATGAAATGGAAGTTCACCCTGGAAACTGGAGAGCGATACTATTTCCTAGAAGTGGACAGATTGGAATCTACAGACACATCTAAAAAAGCACGTCTTTACAGTATTTCTGATCAAAATGAAATCGTCATTAATTCCACTTTCTACAGCGCAAGTACAGACATAAAAAATGGGCCATCTTCTGGATCGTTGAACTTTACTGTCAAGAACTTTGTAAACCAGATAGGCAATAGCGATGGAAGTCCTTATGAACCTATATCCAAAAATTACCTGTACAGATTAGAAATCACTGGATACAAGTCAGGAGGGTTTTCAAAACATACTGAAGTGAAAGCGTATCTTTACGGTAAGTATACCTATTTCAAAGGACTGGTACGTTGTCGGATAAAATGGCGAATGTCAAATTGTCGAGCGACGATTGCACGACCGTAAAAGTAGCCATGGGTTTTGCTAATTGATAAGAAATAACAACTGATTTTAAGTGTAAGATAGTCTGTGGTAAATATTGGCTCCATTTAGTCCTAATTTCTATGCAATAATAACCTGTGAGGTTTGGAAAGAGTTATTTTTGTTATACAGAGTTTCCAAGAAAGCTTTTTTTATTTAAAAAATATAAAACGGCGCATGTGTCTATGTCCTATGATATAAACACGGTGGGAGTTCGAAAAACACGAGAGAAACAAGCTTAGGAACACGAGCGTAGCGAGTGTTTCTCTTGCTCCTCGAGTGTTTTTCAACTCCCACAGTTTGCCGGTAAGCCGTGTCTCTGTCCTCTGATATAAACATGTTCGTCAGCCAATCAGAGCGCGCATTATATATCAAAATTTTTATAACATGCAATTAAAAAGCTTTCTTGGAAACTCTGTATAACATGCATTATAAAATTTTTGATATATAACGCACGCTCTGATTGACTGACCACCGTGTTTATATCAGAGGACAGAGACACGGCTTACCAGCAAAATTTTCTTTTCTTTTCGGTGTTTCTGAAGAAACAGTTGTGTAAAAGTATGTGAAATAACTTACTGACGTTTTTGACGTTAATCCTTCGATGAAGGTAATACTACTTCAAGAGACAAAATTTAGTCAATGGATCTGAGGCTAACGATGTGAATTTTACACCTTTTGTGGAAAAACCATTTCTGAATTTGATAGAAAACATACTTTACTAAATGAGCAATGTAGTGACTGTAGTTCAAGAGTAATGTGGTCTGGGGAAACAGGGAAATATAATATAAAGAAATTATAATACCTCTCTTTCTCTTTAATACTAGTTTTTATTAGGAACAAGTTGCGGACCTTGCAGACCTTCTTGAGTACAACTGAAATAAATATTGAAAGTTTAATACTTTGAGTTGAATTATAATGAAATAATAATAAACAAACTATTAGAAAGAGTAAATCCAGCCTCTTGTATCCAGGGTAGTCTATTTGGTCAGGTGATTGACCTTGTAAATCGGAAATAACACTAGGTAAGTGTTGTATCAGATTTATAACACAGTCGTCACATTAGACAACCCAACACTAGCAAAGGTCTCAATTTTAATATTGCAACAGAGAACTTCACCACATTTTGAAGCAACAGATAGCTAAACATTTTGATCCAACAGATAGCTAAACTCAACAGTGATTTTGTAGTTACTCCTGTCATTAAAGAGGACAGTCCACTATGTTATCGTGCCTATTAAGAGAGATTGTCTGTAACACAATGACATCACAATAGAATGACATTGAATTTGCATTGAGATTAAAACAAAATACCAGCCAGACAGCAGCAAAAAGTTGTCTTGTTTTAAATGGTTCTAAAATGTAGCAAAAAAAAAAAACACTCAAAAGAGCTGAAAACTATACAAAAACAATCAAAGGACAAGGAAGGGGGTATACAATTCAAGATCAGCTGATCACTTCATCCCATCAAAAAGTGTTCAATGTCAATCACAAATCTTCAAAAATAAAAAAAAACATCCCGTGGATATAGAAAGTTTATACTCTTACAGAAGAATGATTATTCAACAAACTAAAATATGCCAACCTGATATGAAAAAGATTGATCCAACACTACGTAGTTTTACATTTATTGTTCATGTCTCCATAAAGAATCCTTTCTTAATGTTTTATGAAATTTTCATGAAAAATAATACTAAGGGAATATTGAGACATGAAAGTGAATATTTGAGACCAACTACACTGTATTTAGTTGGGATTACTGAGCCAACAAAGTGTGGGATATACAAACTAGTTCTGAAGTGTACTCACACGGAATATCTATATGCTACAATGATAGATTCACCAGTGGCAAAACCAAAGGATTTTAGCTACACATACTGCATTAAATTGCAATTAAAACACTAAATACTACACCTACTACACCTATCACTATAAATCTAATATTAAGTGTTACATTTGTTTTCAGCATCTCCTACAGGTCCCATTGCTCTTCATGTTGATAATACAACCTCTAAAGTCAATTCGACTGTTAATATAACTTGTACTGCAAAAGCTGGCAACCCACCAAATACCACTTTAACCTTCTACCGAAACAATCAAAGGTTCAGAGAAGTGAAGAATTATGCAGGAGCAAATGCAACAATTACCATTAATTTGGACAAACCAGGAGTTGAGACATTTACTTGTACAGCTGCAAACCTTGTTGGATCATCAAAAAACAGTTCTTTATTGAATCTTGAAGTCAAAGGTGATAAATATAAAATATATTCTTTTAGTATTCTAACTGCAAAAAGTTAATATTATTTAATTTTGGAATACATCTTTTGTAATTATGGAGTCAGTAAATGTGCTCAACTGTGAAGCAAATGGTACATGATTGTATTAATTGGAGATATCATTAGTGTAGCACATATTTTGTGCAATTTCTGTTTCTGCATACACTCAACTAGCCCAATCCCAGACCTTTTTGACATTCTCTATTTGAACTGTTTGTCACAATATGTTAATTTGATAGATACACAGAGATAAAGATTTGGAAATCAATAAAACCTTCCTACTGGAAGTGGAAGTCTGAGTAATATGTACTCTCAATGGACTGCAAACTTCTTTAACTGTGATTTTGACACTAATTTCATGACATTCCCTCTATCAGTAGTGCATAGACTTGGCAACATTCTGTTCACACAAAAAAACGTTTTGGGAATCCATCATAAGCAGCATATTGTATATACCATGTTAAATAAATTCAGACCCCCATAAAATTCTGTCTTTTCTGTTCAAATTCTGTAAAATATGCAACTCTGCATATTTGATGTCATACTTCAAAACAAAACCTTAAAATGATTTAGAATGCAAAAAAAGTAAAGTAAGTTATTTTCTGAATATTTATTAATAAACCTTACTAATATGATCTTTGTTTTCAGCATCTCCTATGTGTCCTGATCTTCAAGCTGACAAGACAACATTTTGTCATCTCAATGCAACTGTCGATGTAACCTGTGTTGCAACAACTGGATATCCACGAAACACCACTGTAACATTTTACAGAAACAATGTTAAGTTCAGAGAAGTGAAGAATGATGCAGATGCAAGAGCAACAGTTACTGTTACTTTGGACAAACTTGGAGTTCAGACATTCGCTTGCCAAGCTGCAAACCTCGTTGGATCATCAAAAAACAGTTCCTTATTAAATATTGCAGTAAAAGGTGATACTAATATAATTTGGCATTTTCAGAAAATACAGCCTTTTGCAAAAATTATGAGAATTCTCTAAATATCTAAATATCATAATATCCATATCCATATATTGTCCGGAACAAGCGGGTTTGCCAGAATAATTCATTGTTGACATCGAGAAAATGTTCAGAACTACGGATAAGTCCGTCGCCAAAAAAAACTAAACAACAAAGACAAGGGACTAAGGGCATCGCGCGGGATCATGCACTTGATATTATGATATTTAGATATTTCAACAATTCTCATAATTTTTGCAAAAGGCTGTATATACCCAAATATAACGGTACCCATGTAAGGCAGTGTTTGGAATACTGAGAAGTGAAGTGGGGATTTGAAGGGGGAGAAGGGTTTCTTTTTCTGTCGCAATTCTTCAGATTAGTAGATAAGGTGTTAACAGCGTTAACAGTATACACGTCATTACATCTCGGAAAGGCCTTTTTTTGGCACGCACAGCATGAGCTAAGTGGACCTGAGGTCTGCTTAGCTCATGCTGTGCACTCTATAATTCCTAATGCTTGCGTTCAGAAAACATACCTTGAGGTGTTGTAAACGTAAAGAGATTGAAACCAACCAGGGAGAGAGCTAGTGCATCATATAAAACTGACAGCAGACTATATTTTGGTCATTGAGACGCATTTATAAAAATACATGAATACAAAGTATAAAAATGCACTACAAAACGTTGTCTCTTGCAGAGTAACAGGCAAATCACCTAGTAACTCCACTGGTTTCGGGCGACGACACCTTGAAACCACTAAGGGAAGATTCCAATTTGAAGCAATATTTTTACAGCTTTACTATACTAAATACAAAGTATAAAAATGCACTACAAAATGTTGTCTTTTGCAGAGTACCAGGTGAATCACCTAGTACTCCACTGGTTTCGGGTGAAACACCTTGAAACCACTAAGGAAAGATTCCATTTTGAATGAGCTGAATATTTTTACTGCTACTGTAATACTAGATACACTCTGTTTAATATTTGAATTTCGTGTTTGATATACGTTCGCTGTCAGTATAAGGATTACTGTGAGTTCCTGTGGTTGTTAATCTCTACGAGATTCCGTGCCAAAAAATGATTTTTATCTTGAAGTTGACCTGTATGGGCTTTAACTGCGCAATTGCAGCTCTCAGTTTTAAATGAACATAAATGTTTCCTGCTCATAGTTTATATATCACCTATCTAACTGCATTGAATCAGAGGTTCCTTTATACTGTAAATGTTTTCAAGCTTATTAGTGGCAAACCATTTTTCTGAACTCTGATGCAAGTTATAGTCTTCAAAAATCTTATAGAATGTAATGGATGTCACTTCTTTAAAGTGGTTGATGTAATTTTTGTTTTTATATTATAATAACTTTGTTACTCTACACAATGAATTCAAAAATAGTGTTTTTTCACGAACTTTTTATCATTTGATGAATGCATTTTCAAGATCCTCCTACCATTACTCAGTGTGGAAATCAAACGTCTAATGAAGGTGATGCCTTGTCTTGGACCTGTGGTGCTAGTGGCAGCCCATTTAACACTTCATGGGTTAAAGAAAATGAAAACACCATTGTCTCATCTACAAAAGCATACAACATATCCTCTGTCAACAGAAGTGATGCTGGGATGTACAGGGTTACTGTCAGTAATGGAGATGAATGTCCTACTGCTAATACAACAGTATATCTAACTGTACAATGTGAGAATATAGTATTATTGAGTATATACATGACTTTGTAGAGTGTATACGTTACTGTTAGCGTGAATGTTGTCATTTTGATTTTCTAGTAATAGTCTCCTTACACAACATGTGCATATATTAACATTATCAAGATAATGAAAAAATGGAGCAAACGTAATGCCAGCTTGCAGTGCTAAAAATTTAACTACATTTGACAACAGTTTAACAGTTATATTTTTTATTAATTTGGTGTTGATATTTATTTCAGATAAGCCAGAGAATCTTTCAGTTGTCAGAGCACAAGGCAGTGTCTTGCCTGTCAATAAAGGACAACCGATCAATGTTACATGTACTGCAACGGGGAACCCAAAGCCTGATTACATCTGGATGTTCAAAGGCAAACAGCTAAGCAGTCCAATCAATAGTACTATTATTATCAGTAATGCCACATTAGATGATGATGGGATGTACACATGTACTGCCATCAATTCTATAGGAAGAAAAAGCTTCAATGTCAGATTGCAAGTTAATTGTAAGTGAATATTGATGATTATTTCATATTTGATTCAGTTTTCTTTGTTATCCATAGTGTTGTATCTCGCTTATTCCCCAGCTCGTTGTGTATTCAAGTGCTTTATATCGAAGTTTCAGGGATATATCGAGATATCACCCCCATTTGAGGGCAATATCTATATATTGCCCTTGAATACTAATGTATATTGCCCTTGAATACCTAATTAACTACTACGTTCAACTTAGAAATTTTCCGTCTGAAACTTTAAACTTGAAAGAAAGAAAGAAACATTCAAATGACACCAAGTAGATTCGAACCCACAAMCTTAGCTTTGAAAATCCTATACTTAACACGTTATGCTAACTGACTAATCGATGTCAGTTATGGAATAAAACAGTTATTTAACATTGTCCAGCTTGTTACAAAAGGTGTATTGTTAGCATTTGGTCTCATGGGACTAACGAGAAAATTGGTTATGCAAATTATTCCCGTTGGGAATTTTCAATACTGTAAATGTATGTAACTCTTACCTATATCACTCTCAACACTCTTGATGACCTTTAAATCCCAGCAAGGCTTATGCTTAGTTCTTTTAAATATTATATAGTAAGTTGATTTATGTCTTTTTCTCTGGAGGGTTTGAGAAACTTAACAGCAATCGTGTAACTACTGTTCATTTATGTCTATAGTATTTTTGGCTGTGGTCACCACTATGACCACACATGTAGTAAAGCATTTCCTACTGAAATATTTTATATGTAGTTATCTTCTAAGAATAATGCTTTTGTTCCTTTTGTAACAACAATCTTACCATTACATGTAGGTGTACCTACATGTGAACATGCCTATTTTAAGGTATCTGGATACAGTTGCATAAATTGCGATGTAACGGCGAAATAGGTGATGCAAAATGTACGTTTTTAAAAAAATTCTTGCGTCCGTTGTAAATAATCAATTCAAAATCAGCGAGATGCGAAAACACTAGAGGGGTTTTGGCTTTATGGACAGCAAATTTAAAACAAATTCTAGGATTCGATTTCAAGTTAAGGCTGTCAGAATCTGTTTATCGCAAAAGAGCTACCATGCACTAAAAACATACCTTTTGCTTCATACCTCTAACTCCCTAACGAATTGGTGTACAGTGCCGAAACTTTGCATGAACGTAGCAATGATAGGGAAGTTCTTTTCCAGAAATCGGTCAATATATATTTGATACAAAATAAAATGTAAATTTTTGATTTTGTATATGCTCTTTTTCTTTGAAAATTCTTGCTCCAAGTTAAGTACCGCATGATGTTGTCTTTCCTCGATGAATTTCGACCAAACTTTAGGTTATAGTTAGGCAATACCTCTAATATTATGTCCCTGAGATATCGCGGAAAAAATAGGCTTAATTTGTTTGAAATAGCTGTAAAAGCATTTTCCTGGATTTCCCCATAAAATGCATAAATGAAATCCGATTTTCCAAAAATTTACTCAATATGAATTTGAATCCCTTGTTAATCATGTAGTAAAATATTATTACGATCTGACCATTACTTTTTGACCCGTTTCTTTCTTCCCGGTCGGTGTTCTAAACAACTGTATCCAGANCCGGCGCCCGTAAAAATAACAGAAAGAGATCCAACTGCCATGGATGAATTATGGAAAAGCGATCTCCATCTTACGTATTTCTTTCTAACTTTTTCATAATGCACACGCTCTTGTGCTAGTTTTGATAGAGCCTCGTTGGCCTTATGTAATCTAAAGTCTCCTCCAATATTTGGGTATAGTATGTCGTTATCGGTCATCTTATATATGTATAATTTTTGAAAAATTATTTCTTAACTTTCTCTACAAAATAAACAACAGCAGCGACAATAAGCAACCAGGCATTTTTAGCTAAAAATCCCACAACCTCGCCGGCAGTTCTAAAAATGAAACTGGCGATGGCGCCAATCATACCAGGCAATATTTGACCGAGTTTAGTTCCTAAAGTTTTAAGCCCATTTCCAACACCTTTAGCGACTCCAGTTAGGCCGGATTTAAGTTGAGAAACAATAACGCCAATAGTAATGCCGACTGCTGTAAGAACGGCAGTTACTGTAAAGCCGTATTTCTTAAAAATTCTTTTGACTCTTTCACGAAGAGGTAACTTTTCTTCTATAGCTTCTTGATTTTCTTCTAATTCTTCCTTTTTAGCCTCAAGCTCTCTAATTTGAGCTTGCAGACGACTTTTATGCGCTTGCTGGGCATCACGCGACTCAACCAATTCGTTATTTTCTTGAATAAGTCTATTGTGCTCACGTTTAATACGTTCTTGCTCATCACCATCAGGCCCGTCATTTGCTTGCCGCTCGAGGTTTTCTAAAAGAGATTTATTTGATGCGATTGATTGCTCATCTTCTTCTATTTGCCTATTAATTACCACTACCTGTGGTTCAATATGTCGAAGCTGCTCTTCATTAGCAGCTATTTCTTTATCACCTTCTTCTAAGATTTCTTCAGCCGGTCTTCCAAGAAGATTTTTAATTTCTGGTGGAAGTGCATCCAGCTTGTTCCATTTATTCGACTTTTTATCATAAATCGATAGTTCACCATCATCCCAGCCTATATCCAAACCRCCATTCCAAGCGTCCGGCAATTTATTTTCAGGATATAGGGCATCTATTTCTTTTTTACCCTCAGCATATTCCCTATCATCAGCGGTGGTTCGCCCGAATAATTTTTTAAGCTGCTTAGAAAATTTTTCATAATCGTCATAATTGTTTAAAGGATACCATTTAGCGTTAGACCTCTTAAGTCTTACTTCCGTTACACCGTATTCGTTTACTCGATGCACCACTTCATTTTTATCCCAAACACTAAAAAGCTTGTCAATATTTCTTTTGGCTTCTTCTATATTAGCTTCTCTTTTGAGCACTTCATTAAGATCAGCCATTTTAAGGTATTCTGCCACAGGACCTTTAGATGTTTTAACTAAACGATTAACAACATAATCAAAATGTTCCTTAAATCGCCTCTTAATTCTTGATCTCCAAGATTCAACTGTTTCGTCATCTTTCTTTATAAGTTCATCACGTTCATCATCAATTGTTTGATCTAAATTAGCTCGACCTTCTTCTGTAGTTGGATCAAAATCCGCTGGTTCATATTCTTCCATTTTATGATTATAATATATCTTATGTATAATGACACTTGAAAGTAGATTTAATAAGGCCGTCGAGGAGCAAGAAATTCAAAAATGGGGTGAATTAGAAGAAGGAGTTATTTATGAAATTATTAGATTTAATCAGATTTCTACAATTCATGGCCCGGCAGTTAAAGTAGTTCTAGAAGATGATGAATATCAATACACAGTATGGGCGCCAAAAAGGCTTGGCGAGATGCTTTTGCAAGATACTTATACTCATGTTAGGCCGAAGGGGAAGAGAATGTCGAAGTCAGGAAATCAATATTATGATTTTGACATTGCGGATTGAAATTTTTTGAATCTCAAAAAATATATATTATATATGAGGTGTTGTCTGTGCAATAGAATTTTAGAGAGGCCTTGGATTATCGAAAGACTTAATTGTCAAAGCAATGATGTGTTTTACCACTATTGCCTAAAGTGTTCGAAGAAGATATTTGATGATGAAATAGGTATTGTCGAAGAAGATGTTAATTAATCTTTATGCTTTAAATTACAAGATCTACATGCTATTACACAATTGGACTTAATATGWCCTATYYTATTATCTAAACGTTCTATCGTCGCTAAATCATCAGTATACTTAGTATACTGAACTTTTTTTCGACAGTACCAACACCTATTCTCACTATCTTCTATTAAGCCTTTAAGAAAGCATTTATCTATAAACCTATCAGCGTCATAGCGGTTAGATTTCCTATCCGATTCTTTAGAATGGCCTATCCATCCAATAATTGTTACTTTAATAGGATTTGAACATCTTTTACACTGACTTTTATGAATTTCATGTTTGCAAATCTGATCACCCTGACACCTCTTACAGAAACTTTTCTGAATTTCGTGCTCACAAATCTGACTGCCAATACACGTTTTACAGAAGTATCTTTGAATTCCATGAGGGCATATATATCGATTTCTATATTTAGCCGCACTAGCTCGGCAAGTAGAACATGTTTTCAAAATTCTTCCATYCTTAATGAAATCTTCAGGATATCTATAACACTTACATCTAAGACATCGTTTATCTCTGTTACTCATTATACCTACATTAATCAAACGCACAATACAGACATAAAAAATGGGGGTTATTAAACCCCGCTTGTTTTTTTATCAAAAATTTACAACAATTTGCTAGCTCCATAGGCAACTAATCCCATCCCGCCAGCTCATATCTCTTCTGACTGGCCGACGGTGTATAATGAAATTCCGGTTCTTTTAAATCAAAATCCGGATGCGCTCGTTTATAGAGATCTTTTTTATGTATTTAATATTTCCTATATATAAAAGAAATGAACAGCGATTTAGATAGAAAAATAGAAATTTACCAAGATATGTGGTATGAAGTTTTTAAAAAACGTAGAATAAGGCTTGAAGAAGAGTTGAAAATTCGTGATGAAGAAGAGAGAGAGTGTGCTCGAGCAGCTGCAAAAGAAGTTGTAAATAAGCCGTTACCAAGAAAAACAATTGGTAAGGATTTATTAAAGTGGATAGCTTTTAATTTGGTTGCAGAAGAATCTCTTAACTATTTAAAAAATAGACGCTAAACTTCTTAATTAACACCACGCACAATACGAACATAAAAAATAGGGGTTATTAAACCCCGCTTGTTTTTTTATCAAAAATTTATAAAAATTTACTAGCTCCATAAGCAACCAGGCCCATTCCCCCCGCTACATAAGCAATTTCATATCTCTTCTGACCGGCCGACGGTGTATAATGAAATTCCGGTTCTTCTAAATTAAAGTCCGGATGCGCTCGTTTATAGAGCGAAAGAGCTTGATCTGTTGAATTCAAATTCTCATCAGCCTGTTTCTTTTTCAAATATTCTGATTCTAACCAATCTTGG